GCCTTCTGAGGGGGCTGCGCGGCCTCCTGAGGGGGCAGCGCCCGGGTGCCCCGAGGGGCCGCCCACCCCCCCCTTCCCGGCCGGCACCCCCGGGGCTCAGGCCTGGCCGCGTCTCTGTAAGGCTACCCTGGCGAGTTTCGGGTGTTAGTGCCGATCCCTGGTTTTGGTTGCTAATCCCGTCGCGGTTCCTGCCGGCTGTAGTTGCCCAGGGGTCTGTGGGAGCGGGCAGAGGGTCTGCAGCAGGTGGCAGGGAAAGGGTCTGTCCCTTCCAGCTGCGCTGCCTCGCGCCAAGAGGCGAAGGATTGAGTGTTCAAGACCGGGAGCTGTGACAGAGCTCAAGAGATAAGGGATGGAGAATGAGTCTTGGCAACGGAACGCGAGTGTGGAAAGGATAGAGTGGTTTATTTCAGGTCTCTGGCTGTGGTGATTTATGTGAGTGTTTGGGATGGTGGTGCAGCAGCTGTGGTAGGAATAGGGACTAGGGGCAGAACATCCCTGGTTGAGAACTGCAGTGGCTTGGGCGTGGGTTATCCGTGGTGTGGGGTAAAGCAGTTCAGCTGGAATGGGCTAGAATAATAAGGCTTACGATCTAGCTAGTTTGTTTCTGGTGCCTGGCCTCTTGTTACAAGGAGCAACCTGGCAGCTGTGTAGCAGGCTCCATTCCTTCTGATGCACTGACAAACAGCAGAGCAGTACCTCAGCCTTCTGTTTGGGCTTGTTTTGCTTTTCAAAGTTCTGTCACCCTTTGCCATGAAGGTGACTTATAAATGGAAAACACTGCCTATAATGCCGTTTAACCTCTTTATTTTTGCACAATATAAACTTGAGTTCCTGTGCTAGCACTACAGAAGGACTTCATGGACTACTATGGGATTGGGAAACAACGTTTTTAAGGTGGATTTTAGCTAAGTGCCGTTTGGTATTGAAATCTGAGTGTTGCAGTGTCCTTCAGGAGAGAGCAGATGCCGTTGTCTTTCCAGTCAGAGGCATGAAAGAGGAGCAGGGAGCCTGGCAGCACTGGCTCCAAGGGAGGGCCTGCCTCAGGTGCCCTTCGGAACTCTTGGTTTAGGCTGTCACAACTGTTATCAGTGCCAACTTCACTTTTAGAATCCTCCAGGGTAGAATGGGGTGTACTGGCTTGTTCCAGCTGGCTTTTGCTATAAAGCAGTTAGTTACTTATCTACCTACCTACCGATGTGCACTGTATTCCAGATATAATTGCTTCTAAACAATGTCTCGCATAATTAGCTGGATGAGCAGTGTCCTGATCCCTCGGTGAGGAGTGCAGTGTTAGCAAGGAATACACTACACTGATTTGTTCTGCTTAACTGGAAGCTTTGGCAGTTGAGATGTAATACAGGTATGCTGTATTACACGTTTTCACCTCCTTGCTAATTAGAAGAGGATAAAATCACAGACACTCAGGCCTGCTGTTACTGAAACTCACCGTGTTACTGGCACAATTACACTTTTGAATTTTTAAAATTCCTTCCAGTTTGTAATTTGCTTGTACCGAGTGACTCTCACAAGAAATATGTGAATGCACACACATACACATGCATATTTGCTACCACAGTTGTCTGAAACGATTAAGGAAAAGTATCTGGTCTGTGCAGAGAAGGATTTACCAGCTTCCTGCTGCCTTTTTTTTTTTTTTTCCTGGTAAACTTTTTTGTTTCTCTTTGATCTTGGCTCTTCTTGGTCTCCTTTCGCCTTTGTTGTCAGTCTGTCTCTGATATTCATCTACTGATTTATTTTCACTGTTCCCCTGTAGATGATTTTCTCTGTGCAGGATGAAACTGAATCTGGGGATTTCTACCTTTTCCCATCCCTGCTACAACTCTGGAATAGTTGTATAGAACAAATTAAAAAACAAACACAAGGTGCCTATAGCAAAACCTAACATTAGTGTTCCAAATGCTGTTTTGAAATTGACGAACAATTAAGACAAAAATCAAGTGTCGTTTCTTTCAGAGGTGCCTGGGAGGGCTGGAGCAGCGGGGTATCCCTGCCTGCCCTTCCAGAGCTGCTGTCACTCTTTAAATTTCTCAGTTGCTTGGGAAACTGAGCAATATGTTTCTGTGGAAATGGGAATTTCAGTCCCTCTGGCCCGCGGCTGAGAGGGTTATGAAACAGCCCTGGAGGGAGCTCAGGTCTCCAGGCCGGCTTGTCGCTGCTCTGCCCTGTGCAGGCTGGTGCCCAGGAGCCTGTTTGCTGGGGAGGCTCTGCCTGCTGGGGGGGCTGCTCCTGCCGGGTCTGAGCTGATTCATAATAGAAAAATCCGGTAAAGTTCCTGCTGTGGTTTCAGGGTAGCAAGCAACTACTCTGCAGTTCAAACTTCTCTGAAGATAAAATTAGTCTCGTCCTCTATGTAGTTGAGATAAACTAGACGTGTATCCTTTATAAAGAAACTTTATCTCCTGTAACAGTTCTTCAGAAGACAACTACAGCCCTAGATTTAAAAAAATATAGTGATTTTAAACATAGGGATTTTTTTAATTACATGCATTCCATATGCATACAAGAGAAAACAATTAATAAAGGTACACACTAAGGAGTCTCTCTTTTATAACCATGAGCAAAACCTTTTTTTTCTAAGTGGAAGTGACAATTCCAGATTCATAATAGCTTTATATAGATATAAAACCAAAACTTTAAAATTCTGTTTCCTATGAGAATTTTAATTCTCAAAAAATAAATTATCTAGACAGTGAAGTAGATTTGTTGCTCAGCTTTCCTTCATTGTTGACAAATTTCTTTAGTTTCAGTGTCTGGAACATCACTCATAAATGTGAAATTGTTAATGTCTGGACCTAAAGAACCTTGTGTTGCCAGCACAGCTGATTGGAAAAGCTGGGAAATAAAGGTCTGTGCCTGAGAGGAGGAACAGCTCGTGCACTTCAGGGAGAGCAGTGCAGTACAGAAGTAGATTTGGTGTCATAGTGTTGTAAATGTCCTTTGCAAAGGGTCTGTGCTATGTGATGTTATTTTCTTTAACTAGGAGCATATGCTAGTTAGCTATAAATGTTAACACATTTTGTCATTCTCCTTTTAAAGGGTTGGTCTTAAGAATTGCATCTCTTCTAGTAAATTTTCTTTCAGCTGTTTTTGAGGTCTCTTTAAAAAGTAGAGCTCAATTAAATGAACTAACATTTTGTATTAATTAGCTGAAGAAGAAGCCATGAAGTGTGTTGGATAGATTTTTTTTTTTTAGTTTGTTGTGTTTTTTTTTTTTAATCTGAATTAATAAAAAGGTGCTTTCAGTATGAAGTTAACTAGCAATATACAAGTCCCTCCTGGAACTGGACTGGATCTTTTGGATGACCATGGCTGTTAGAATTTTTTATTTAATATAATTATTATTCAGTCTAGTTTTACAAGGAAAAATAGTCTGGTCTGACTGGCAAAGTCAAACACTTTCACTTTGGGGTGTAGCAGCCTATCTCAATAAAGTGAGATAAGCCACACTTATTTCTGTGCAGCCTGAAAGGTTTCCCTGTGCAGAGCTGATTTAACTCTCAAAGAACTGGAATCTGAATATTTAGTTTCTGACTTCCATCAATTTAGCTTGGTGCGTTTTGCAGGAACAATGCTGCTTAATTTATTTTTGTAAATTGTTTATTAATTAATGGCAGATGTAATCCTTATGGGTTTCCTTTATCCCAAATGCAATTTAAGGTTTTATTTTCAAAGGAGAGTATAATTAACAATTCCAGTATTTTTCAGTAGATTCACTGCAAGTCAAAGTTTGTTAGACTTGGTGTCAATGAACAATGCTGATGGACCCCAGCAAAAATGTTACTGTGTTGAAAAGATTAGGAGGGCACAGCTGAACAAAATTGTCTCTAAATGCGTCTCACAGTTAGTTCTCTTCCTGGCTGAACCAGCCAAAGGCTCAGTAGCATTTCGTGCAGCTGCAGGAGCCCAGCTGCATGTTATTGTGCTCAGATTTAGAGTTAGACCCTAAATTGAGTCTTTGACACCAAATGCTTGGTTAATTTCTTTTTTTTTTGCAGTGTAGCAAAATCGAGAGTTTACTAGAATTAGGGTATAGGGCAATGTAACACAAAGATAGGAAAAGTTCATACTGATTTCCCCATTTTTTTAACAGAAGAAAAAAATGGAATGATGATTTATTATGAAAACCAGCATTAGAGTGATTGTTATTTGTGACCTTGCAGTGTGATTTCACTAAGCTGGCAAAGAAAAGACAGTTTTGCAAAGGTTGGAAAACGAAAGTTAATGTCTTAGTTTTGTGCTCAAAGTAACCCAGGAATAGCACCACGAGCCTAATTACTGCTAGGGCTGTTGTATTTAAAGGCCTTTGAGTTAGACTCTTATTTGTGCCAGCACCTAGACATAGCTTTTAGTAAATTTGACTGGTTAATACAAGGATTGCTATTTATATCACCAAGGTAACATTTAAAAAAAATTGGTGGAGGGAAAAAACGTTTCTGTACTCACTATTCTATTCTTATGTTGAAAATGTTACTCATAGTGGGAGAAAATTTTCATAGGTCATTTAGAAACTTTGGTTCTAACTTATCACTCTCTTCTACTGTTCCCCTCTGTAAAAAATGCGTGGTAGCAGATTGTTGCTTTTCCTCACTTCTTAAGCCAGAACTTGGATGTGGGTGAGCTCTGTCTAGTCACTTAGATCATAAATCTTAGATCTTAAATGCAGGTCATAACTTCCCAAAATCTTTGGAACATCTCTCCCCTTCTTTTTTTTTCTTTTTTTTTGGTGTCTTTTTTCCTCCCCTTAGCAATAAACTGCCAATGTAGGTTAGGTTGCTGGTCATGGAATGTCATATGGAGGCACTTAAGTTAATAAAAGTATTTTAAATTAGTTGATTGTAAAAAGATAATAAGCTGTTTTATCTGTTTTTCTTTTGTAGGACATGCATCACTTTGAGGAAGAGCTGACATGTTCCATTTGCTACAGCATATTTGAAGATCCACGTGTTCTGCCCTGTTCCCACACGTTCTGTAGGAATTGTCTGGAAGGTGTTATTCAGCTGTCGAGCAACTTTTCCATCTGGAGACCCCTGAGAGTTCCTCTGAAGTGCCCCAACTGCAGGAGTATTGTTGAAATCCCTGCTGCTGGCACTGAAGCCTTGCCAATCAACTTTGCATTGAAAGCTATTATTGAGAAGTACCAGCAGGAAGATCACTTGGATGTCACCACCTGCAGTGAGCACTACAGGCAGCCCCTGAACGTGTACTGCCTGCTGGACAGAAAGCTGGTGTGTGGCCACTGCCTCACCATAGGCAAGCACAACGGCCACCCCATAGATGACCTTCACAGTGCCTACAGGAAAGAAAAGGAGACTTCTGGAAAACTTCTCGAGCAGCTGACTGATAAACACTGGACAGATGTGTGTTTGCTTATTGAAAAGCTGAAAGAGCAGAAGTTGCAGTGCGAGAGCATCATTCAGGAGGATAAGAAAGCAGTAGTACAGTATTTTAGGAAGCTCAGCGATACCTTGGAGCACAAAAAACAAGCACTGCTGGCTGCCCTGGATGAAATTAACACCCACATTTTGGAGGAGTATGAGCCTCTTATTGAGAAATTGAAAAAAATCAGGGGAGAGCAGCTGGAACTGATGTCACTGAACACATCGATTCAGAAGGAAGAGTCCCCGCTGGTTTTCCTTGAGAAGGTGAATGATCTGCATCAACGTGTGAGAGCTTTGAAGCAGAAACAACTGCCAGATGTTAAACCTGTGGAGATTCACCCGAGGATTGGGTACCTGTTGAAAGATGTCTGGTCTAAAACTGAAATTGGGCAGATCAACAAGCTTCTCACCCCAAAAATAGAACTGATCCCAAAGAGGAAGTTACGCAGCAAAGGCAGCGGGAAGGAAGGAAGACGACCTAAAGAACTTCTCCAGGCTGTAAATCCTTTGGCAGGCCTGCTTCTGTTTGTGCTCCTCGTGGTAACTGTGATTTCACTGCACAAAACGGCCTCATCGGTTGCAATCAAAGCTATTCCTGCTTATATTTCAGAATTCTTGCTCTTTATTTATCGAGATTTCTGCTTCAATTTTCAGAATGTAGAGGATGTGCTGATGGAGTTTTTAGGGAGAATTGCTTCTCTTTGTCTATTTCAACAATTCAATTAAAAGATAGTGTAGGAATCCACAGGATATGTATTTTTTTATTTCCACTTAGAAGCTGGGCTGTTAAAGTTCTACACTTTTTCTTTCTACTTCCATATCCTTCCTTCTGTATTGTATAGGTTTCCTCTTAACTAACTCTCAGTTAACTGAGAAGATTTGCAAGAGAAGGTTCTGCTCACACAAGACAGCAGGTAGGTAGGTGTTGGTCAGAAGCAATGTCTGCATACAGAAACTATAAGCAATTTACAAACTGTAAACAGGAATCCTGTTTGTAGAAACTCCTCCAACAGTTTACTAGGTAATTTTTTTTTTTAATAACATAATTTTAAAAAATGTTTAAAACCACCGTGGGATATAAACTGACTAGTCCTGGATGGGGTCAGTCACTAGCTCTGGTGTACAAAAACTCTCATTTTGTGTTTACTGACCTCTCTCTAAGCATAAAAACTACACTTAAGTGTAGTTTTTAGGTTTTTAAAGCATATATTCACAGCCCTGGGTTTCATTTTGTTTGTTCCTGGTTACTGGCAGATGACATTATATCTTTTTTCTTTTTTTTCTAAACTGTGTTTAATGACTTTGTGTCTTTTGAATGAATCTCTCTGCGTTAGAGCAGTATCTGCAAGACAAGGGGTGCAATACTGCAAAGTTTTTTAGTGCCAGCTGTGCACAAATCAGGTGTTGGTTCGGTCTGGCAGGGAGCTCCCACTGCTTACTGAAATGAGCCCTGACTTTTTGCTGAATCATTTAATCTGTAGTGAGAAGAGGTGCAGGCTGGAGTGAGCAGCAAAACTCCCACTGAAGTCAGTGCTATGAGGTTTTAAAATCATGTTAAGTGTCCTTAAAACAAGTTGACAATGAATGCAAATTTATATTCAGCTTTCCAGCACAAATAGCAGAGCTCTTTACCCGAACAGGGAGGAGGCACGTTAGCATTTCAATCACTGGATCACTAGCAGTGTCCACTCCTTGGGATGGGGTGTTGCAGCCTGAGCTGTGCTCAGGAGGGAAATCCCCAGTGAAAGCTGCTTCAGCCCTCGGTTAACAGCCTGATGGCAGGGAGTGCAGTTAGAACAGCAGAACACGGATGAGCTTACAAATCACTAAAAAACAAAAAATGAGTATTTATTTGCCATGTCTTACTGTGTTTGACTTGATAAAAATAATAGGATATTGTAGCATGGCAGCATTCCTTGGCTGTAGTGTATTTTTAAATACTAGAAGTTGTTTAAGTAGGGATTGAATTCTGAGGCTCACGTTTAAATACCGGGTGTTTAAAATCCTTGTGCAAACCAAAACGTGCCCGTTGCTGCCAGCAGGAACTAGTGCTGCTTCAGTGAGAGCTGAAGGCAAGGCCAGCCCTCAGTTGTGATGCTAAAAACAGTGATACCCTAGTACTGTTGTGGTAAGAAACCCTGAGGCACAGCCCTGTGCAGCTCCCTGCCCTGCTGCTCGGCAGGACTGGGTGTCCAGGTTGGACTGAGGCAGGAGCCGGCAGCTCCTGAGAGGAGTGGGCTTTGCCTGCCTGTTAGGGGTGGTTTCTACTAAATTTTCTGTAATATTTAATAGAGCTACAAAGGCAGATCCCATCAATACTACTAGTCAGGTCCTGAAATGGTGTTTAGGTTTATCCTGGGAATGGATAAATGCTGGTCTATTCATTTCCAATTAAACTGGTGAGTTGTTTTTCTCTTAAGCCCTGCTAATGAAGGCTGTCACTTGGTACATAAGGTATCTCAAAATGTGGTGGCAAGTGTCTGTCCCTCCCCACACGAGGCTGCTTTCTTGACTTACCTTCCTTTTTATTTTCCTGACTTCTACAAACTAACAGAGTTTATAATGCAATTTTATTTTTTAAGCCTACAGGAATTTATAAAATGCCTTTATTACAGATTGCAACATTTAGTATTTGTACTTCTACTGCACTGTATCTTTTAATAAATTTGCAGAGAAATAAAACGTATATTTGCAGTAGGACTGGCTAACACCTTCATTTCCTGACTGCACAGAACCTTCCCTGTGGTCCAGAACAGCGGTGACAGGAGGGAGCAGGACCGGGGCTGCTCAGCAGTGCTCACTCTAGCTGCTTCCTTTGCTTGCAAGCACCCTGCTTTTTTGCAGCAGGAACTTCAGGAAGATTCTCTGAGGTCCCCAGGTGGGTGGATGTGGATTTCAGTCCACGGGCCTGTTTTGCTGATTTTTTTTCTGAGGCGAGTTGGTGCATGAGGGTGTTGGAGCTGGCGAGGTGGGTGCTGGGGGGCAGTGCAGGTGTTTGTTGGGCAGGGGTGTGACCAGCTCCTCCTTTTCCTCTTACCCCAGCACTCCCTGGGGACAGGCAGCTGACACTGCTCCAGCCCTGCTCCTTGCCATCCTCTGTGCTGTTTCATGTATGAGAGATGGAATTTCAGGAAAATGAAATCTTTTTGCTGCGTTTTAATTGAGGTATGAGAGGGTTTTGTACCCTGCAAAACTTAGGGTGGGTTTTTCCCATCTTTTGAACTCTCCTTTTTTGAAAGCTCATTCTAGAAGTGTAATTGTCACTACATGTATTATTTTAGAGGGGAAGTCTGGTTGAAAATGATTGAGACCAAATGGGAGAAAAAGAGTAAAGTTTCCAGGTTACACCTTAGATTCCCTGTCAACACTGAAGTGTTGACAAGATGCTGCTAGAAATGGAGCCCTGTCTGCAACAGCCAGGCGAGCAACAGGCACAGGGTACAGCTGTTCCTCACCCTCCCTCTGCCCTGGGAACGAGTCGGCCCTTTGGGAATGATGGGAGAAGCAAGCAGATGGTAATTAGTGTGTTAATAAAGCCTGAGTGTACAACGTGGCCAGGGCCTGAGCGAGGGAGGAGCCATCCCTGCAGGAGGGGAGAGGGAAAGGCCCGAGGAGCAGCTTCCAAAACGGAACTGATTAATTACAAAATGGCCACAAACACCTCGTTCCCAGAGCTGCAGCTTTACATGTTGTAACAACATACATGGCAATTATTTTGTGTAGGGGCTTTACTTGCTGGAACTCATGTAATAACATGTTACAGGACACTGATGGCATCTAAAAGCAATTTGCTGACTTTAATATATACAGTAAAAATCCAGGCATTTTAAACCAAATGCAGAACCCAAGCATCGATATTGAGCCTACCCCAGGAATGTCAAAATGCAGCTAGATATGGACTTTGACAAAGATTTGTTTTTAATGTAGTTCACATAATTAAGATCTGCATATATAATTTAAAGAAACAGGATTTATCAAGGTAAGTTTTATTAACACAAAACTAAAAGAAAAACATCTCAAATACAAAAGTATCTTAGATAAAAATAATCAGCAGCAATAAGAATGGAAGTGTATTCCGTCTTATTTTTGAGCTTCACCCCCAACAGTGCTGAGTTCAAGCAGTGCTTTGGAGGCAATAACTTTGGGGTTTGTTGCCACACTCTTTGTGACGTTGTGAGTCTTGTAAATCCCAATTAATCTGTCTGCAATCTCAAACATGTTGTTTCGCAATGAGATGATGATGAATTGTGCATTTTTTGTTTGCTCCTGAAACAGAAGTTCTGTGCATTAGCTCACAGGGTTTAAAAAATGCTCCGTTCTTGTACTGGAATAAATAATAATAGAATGTTTAAGGTTGGAAGGGACCTTCAAGATCATCAGGTTCCACCAGACCAGGCTGCACAAGCCTCATCCAACCTGGCCTTGAAAACCTCCAGGAATGGGGCAGCCACAACCTCCCTGGGCAACCTGTTCCAGTGCCTTCCTGCCCTCATGGTAAAGAATTTCTTCCTCACGTCCAAAATCTCCCCTCTTTCAGTTAAAAACCATCACCCCTTCTCCTGTCACTGCCTTCTCTGGTGAAAAGCCCCTCCCCAGCTTTCCTGGAGCCCCTTCAGGCACAGGAAGGTGCTCTAAGGTCTCCTTGGAGCCCTCTCTTCTCCAGGCTGAACATCCCCACCTCCGTCAACCTGACTTCATAGCAGAGGTTTCAGCATTTCCACAGGTGCAATTTACCAGTTTTAATGTGAATTCCACAACAACTTACTGAAAGTTATGACTGTGTTACCTGAATTGTTACAGCAAGAGCTGCTTTTAGAGTGGAAAGGAAAACAAATCTATTTCCATGTGCTGGTACATTTCTGTTTTAACAAAGCAGCTAAAATGTCTTTGAGGGAACATACAGCACATACAAGGTGTACACCTGATTTTATATATATATATGTATAAAGACATATATATAGATAGATAAAGCTTCAGGCAGGATGTAATAAAAATGGCTCAAATATCAAACACAATCTTTTTTCCTAGGACAGTACTAATTTTGAAGCTGTATACAAAATAAAAGCTAGTGCTATAATTTGCTTTTAAATGCTAAAATACACTAAGTTTCAAGCATGTTAGTTTAGTTAACACTGCAGTTGAAATCCAACTCTTTGCTCTACCAAATCCCCTCTGGGACATGGACCCTGCTTTGTACAAATAGAGGCCTTGTGGAAACAAAATCTAAAGCACCAGTTGGAGGCAGGTATCTTCAAAGTGTCTCCCTAATTTCAAGTAGCTAGCTACTCATGATCTTTGGCACTTCCAGGGTGTTCCCAAAATGGGTGGTTATACTTTGTGTCATTCTTGAAGTTCTAAGTTTAAATTAACAACCAGAAGTGTAGCGATGTAAATGTTTGCACCATTAAATATGGTGATGACAGAATATTTAAAGGCATGAAAGAAAAACCACACTAATAAAGAGACAGATCAAAGCAGCCTATGGGAAACAGCTCCTGTTAATGACATGGAAGTATAAAACCAAGGAGCCTTGGCCACACCCGGGAATGAAATCATGAGCTTGGACACATGAACACATCACTAAGAGCTAAGTGAGTTGCTGCATCTCAGCTGAGTTTATCTGATTATTTTGGGGAAAGAACCTGTATTTTGAAGAGGATGCAGCAGTAGCAGTGAGGATCTGTGGAAATGGGGCACCACTGGCAGCCTCTAGTCCTTGCAGCTTTTGAAACTGTAAGCTCAGGATTTGGAGAAAAAACCCCAATTTGTAAATCCTCTGCTACTTGCCTCATTTCAGGAAAGTATTGAAATGGGCAGCTTAGGAAAAATAAGCAGAAAGCAACATGCTAAGCACCTTTCTGGAAATGTGCTCAGTACAGTTTCCACTTAATTATTTGAAAATATAATTCCAGACTTTTAAATCTGGTCTCTTTTGTTGCCACTGTCTTTTGTGGCAGAAAAGAAACTTAGAAAAATGATACTATAGTCGTTCCCATTCAATACTTACATAAATGTAAAAGGCTACAATAGACACATTTTTGAAGTCAAGTGCTGCATCAATCTCATCCATAAAATAAAGTGGCGTGGGCTTGTAATGATGAAGAGCAAAAACTAGTGCCAGTGAACTAAGTGTCTTCTCTCCTCCTGATAAGTTGAATATCTTCTTCCAACTTTTCTTTGGAGGCCGAACACTGAAACAAATCAAGAGTTTGTAACTTATTTCTGTTCACCATTAAAATAAGTATTTTGTGGTGAAAAGCAAGTCACAAGAGGGAAGTCTTGGAAGATACAGACACAGAGAGGCTGAACTAAGACCATGGATGAGCTGCTTGATACTCTTGAGTCCTCCACAGCTGAGAAGCAGTGAAGGGGAATATTTCTGTTCACTGAGGAGTAACTCCCTGGTGTGTACATCAGGCCAGCTGATGTCTGCCTGAGCTCAAACCCCTCCAACACTCAGCTATTCATGTCACTCTACTCTTAAGTAATTAATACACTCTTAGGACCATTTATGCCAGAACAATCTCCAGTTACCAGTGTGACTGACACAATTCCCTTGGCAGAACAAAGTCATTTGGGAATGAAGAAACCCTGAGAAATTTACTTCAGTGAAGTCAAAGCTTTCTGACTGCTGTTAGAGACTTCTTTCTCCAGGAGAAACAAATCTCTTTGTTACCCAATGCTAAAAACTTGTGGCTTCTGTCAGTATCTTGCCAATGCTTGCCAAGAGGGAGGAGTGTCTTGGTTAGCTGCTGATCCATTAAAATGTACTTAAAACGCAAGCTGGAAAAAGGAACACAACAATTAAACAATAATACAAACTATTTTTGACAAACCTAAATACGATTCCCTCAGAGAAGGGATCCAGGCTGTCCACAAGTTCTAATTCAGCATCCCCTCCCAAAGTCAGCATCTGGTAGTTTTCCTTCAGTTTATTTGTTATGACATTAAATCCTGCCATAAATTCATTTAGCCTTTGTTTCCTAAGATCTTCAAAAGCTTGTCTGAAGTTGTCTCTCATGTTGGTAATTTCATCCAGTTCACCCACACGTTTCAAGTACAGCTCTTCCTGTAGGAAAAAAAAGCAAAAGTGCAGTTCAAGGAGCTGCCTCCTTCATGTAGATTTGAAACCATTTTCCCAACCATTTGAAAGATGATTTTTCCCAGGGTGGCTAACAGCCCTGAAACAAAAGAGCAACCCCAAAACATCTCTTTTTAATCATCTCTATCCTCTGTGCTGCTGATCTCTCTATACTGGAAAACCTGTATTCAAATAAAAAGAAATAAATTTTAAAAAATTTAAGAATCATCTGTTGACTAGTCCAGTATTACTGAAGTGAGTATAGTGAGGAGAAAAAAAATCCTTGCATTGTTGTGTATCTGCCTAGCCTGTCAAGACTGGTTGACTGTAACCACACACACTTTCCCAGGAGCAAGCTGTCTTCCCCTGCCATGGTTAGTACCACAATATAAAAATTGTAGGGA